CACCTCCACCTCCTCCCCCACCTCCACCACCTTCACTTCCATCGGATGTTATGGCTGCACACACAGGATCCGTAAGTTTTCGACTTTTTCTAATTTTTGTGTTTTGCTTATTGCAATCATCTTTTCGTATCCTCATCATCCGAGAAAAAGATTTTTATGCAATGCGCACATGAACTCGACGTGGAAACATTTATGTAATCAGNNNGGCATATCATTGAAGGCGCCATATCACGGCGAGCAGTCGAACATCAATCTGCTGAGTCGGTCTGCATGAATGCATTGCAGTTGTTTGTTTTTTCACCGTCCTTCCAGGTTGCGGGTCCCTCAACAAATTCTCAGGTCGGTGAGAATGACGTGGATGAACTGGCTCAAGGCGATGATGCAATGGATATTGGTAAGTGTAATTAATACTGTCCTATTTTATCCTTGGTATTTTGAAGTTGGCCGATCTGACAACGTCTGACTTGTAACCGGCCAGAAGGATTTGTGTACGATTTTAAGTAGACCATACGTATACATTTAGCAATTATCCTTTTTGAAATCGGATAATTGGGCTCATTTCCGCACGACAAATTTGAGTTGGGCTGCGCAGATCTACCACTTAAATGAAATGATCTCTCATGAAGGTGGCCATCATACATTTTGAATCGTGCCTGGGAAAAATTTACTTGCAAGTCGATTCATGTAAACTTGAGGCTGTTAAGAATATAATGTGTGAGATGCTTGGCTCGTGTGTGCACCAGGATGTCCCCCGTGAACGAATACACCAGACAACCGTAAGTGGGTCGAGTCGAGGTGGGGGCTGGAACCGTCAATAGACAGGATGTTCTTCGTGGAACGGGAGTTGACTGACAATCTGAAAGAGAGAACAATACGGACACCATGAGCCAAAAGGTCCAGAGAGGCGTGAACCCGACTCACACTCAAACAAAATGGCAAGTAACCGAGGTCGTTACATATGTCGCTCAATCGGATGGATTGTTTCAAATGACCTAAGAAATTTAGAAAGCGTAAGATGAGGGGAGTGGGGGCGGGAATTGACTTGGGTGGGCTATCATTCCGCGGTAGTTACCCACCGTTCCTAATAGTTTCTAATACGCATGAAATAGCAGTACAGTGCTTCATACTTCGTTGTCTATGACATGTTTTGTGCATGCCGCGTCAACGACCGCCCCGTCATGCTGTTAGGCTTGAGCAAGCCGACACTAACTGGAAGCGGCGACGGGGTGGACAACGAATAACTCAGGGTTCCAACGATGAAACCGTTACCATCAAAACTGGCAGTGGTAGGACACTCTAGGATCCCTGGTTGGAGTAGCAACGCTAGCGAGCATATACAGTCCGAGACACTAGCCGACGTGGCGATTCCAGTAGTCTTGTCAGTTCATTCATATACTTGGACTACTTCTGGAAGAGCTGTCCAAACAAATTTACCCAGTGTTGCAAATGAGGTTATTGTGACGAAACTACACTTCCTGGGTACAAGTATATGAATGAAAAGACAAAAGACTACCGGATTTGTATGCCTGACGAGTGGCAAGAACCGCGAAACCGGTCGTGTGCTTCCAGGGAAATTATACCCAGTCATTCATATACTACTTATTGTAATATATACATATATATGATAGTTTCCGTTTTTTGTAGTCTTGCAATGCTCTTCGATTAATATCACTGCGGAGTTACAAGTAAAACCCAACTTTCAAGTGGCACGTTAATGGTGGTAAATGACTGAACTACGGATTTTCATGCTTTTCTGTTTCCGGTCTGTGCGAAAAATGTATCATGTTAAAAGATCTTGATAGACAAGAAAAACTGGTCAATGATTTGCTCTGTGCGGCGGGGGTGGGGTAAAACTGCAGAAACTGAACCAAGCTTTGTGTCTATGTTATGTTTTACATTGTTCTTTTTTGTTTGATCGTCCTTTCTTTTCACATTTTCTCATTTTCCTCTATCGATTGACCCGCTGAAACACCATTAAACTACTTGTCCAGCTCTCGTTTTCGTATTCTACCTCGGGTCAGATTAGTTAGTTGAAGATGTACTGTCTGCTTGCTTCTTCTCAAACACAATGCTACCTCATTTTGTTTTCTTTCTAAGACTAGTCCAATTCAGTTCTCGCCACTGTTATTCTTGTATTTAAGTGCATCTTCATATCACTAACCGAGGGGTGGGGTCGGGTTGGTACATGTGGCTCATATCCTTATCTGCATTGCATGTTCGTCGTTACTTTGCTGGTGAACTTGAAAACAATCGATGATGTATCTATCCTACCACATGTTAATGTGGGCAGTGACTGGTCCATTTTGTTTACGTACGAAAAAGAGGTAGTTCTCTGGCAGAGCAGACACGAACCATTACGATCATGGTCGATTCTTAAAACCCATTGTGTTGACAAGTCACTGTTTTGAACAGTGCTCAGCGATTGATTCTTGATCGATCGTGATTTATCCATTTTCTCAAAATTTAATTCAATCGCTTTTCGGTTTAATCAATCCTAGTGGATTTTAACTATTTAGCCATCGATTTAATTCTTGAAACAGCTCCGTCCTCGTGTGAGGAAAGGAGCAGCGATTTGCTTCTAGGTGATAGACTGTATAATCTGGACTATGCGGACGAAGATTGTACAGTTAAGTAAGGTGAGTTTTAAGCTTTTCTGGATAGTTTGAGTACTGGTGTAGCTGTGTATGTATGCGTTTTGCACCTTCAAAGTGTAAACTGTTGCTACTAGATTGGTTTAGTCCAGCCTCACTCTATATGGGAAAGTAGTAGAGAAAGTAGACAAGTTTTGCTATCTGGG